TTTAATGCCTGTTATTACATATTTTGCTGATGGCTGTATTTTCATCTCTTTGGAAGCTAAGTATCCATTAGTTCATAATCTTTTCTAGTTTTTGACTTCGGCTTTCATGAGTTTCCCCAAAGTTGCTTTTCTGCTGTTAATCCTGACTTAATTCTCCCCACACTCAGGTTAAAAAGTATGTTATTTGAACTCAGTTATTTAAAATTTCTCCCATCGACAAGTTTACCTTTTCTTTTGGATTGCTCCGTGGCTGAAATTGAAGACCACATTCCTTGCGGCAAATGGTTAAATGGGGGGATACAGGCTCATGATCCGACAGGAGGAACGTTTTTGGTTTGTTGTATTGCTTACCTGGAAAAAAGTTCAGAAAACAGGACTTCTCACCAGGAATTGCAAAGCTAAAAGAATGTGGCTCTGGGGCAGCTGCAGGAGTTTCAACACTGGAAGTAGGGGGATGAAAGCCTACAAGTGAGCTTGGAAGAAAACTTAGTGATTTTTCGGTCTACGAAACCTAACTCACACGAATAGTTTCTCGTCGAGTATGGCCCTTTCCACTCAGATCTGTTGGTGCCTTCGAGCTGGTATTTCAAGTATGTCCATCTGCATTTAAACGAATCGCTCCAAGACAATCTGATTATGCGGTAGTTACTTTGGTGAGAATAGTGCCTCAGTGGAATGGAAACTTCATTTTGAGTCTAATATTAGACCTTGCTTTGGAAAATTCCTTTTAAATGATCACAAGCTGGGAATAGCAAAAGAATTTAACTTTCGACAGACAGCATTCACCAAGAATTTTTAACTGCTTATGTTTGGGTCCTTGGGAAAGCAGATGTGAGAAAGTGACCGGCCTGAATGGACCAGGGTAGCAGTGACGTGACCTGATGTGTGTTTATATCTATTGCTGATAAGTTTCCCTCCTCGTCTCATTTGCTCAAAATATTTTCATTCTTTGAGCATGAGCACGCTAAGGATCAAAATTGTTAGGATGCCTAATTGTCTAACAATCTAAGCTTCTAGGCTTCCCTGATGCCTGTAAAGGGGACTGAAGCAGAGCAGAAAAGGACCCACAAACCTACAAAACCAGAGCCAGTTTCTGAGTGAGTGCTGGGAACTTGATCACATTCTGACCCCCCAGAGAATATTTTTAGTTTGTCTAGCTGGTTGTGTTTGAGTCATCTCACCTGATTTGAAGTTTTAGGTAAACTTTATTTAAGTAACCCCCCCCACCATCCCCCGCTCCAAAGAATCCCCACCCTGTCATTAAAGAAAGTAGTACACATGTTAACAGAGCATGAAATTTCCAGATCATGTCTTCTTGGCTTAAGTAAAGGACCTGTTTCGGATGCCTCGCATGCCTTGGATTAGGAAAACCAATATTGGTATTTGAGAGATGCATTATTATCTTAAAAGATTTTTTTTCTGAAAGGGAAATGCATCTTTTAATCATGGTGTACTTTTAATATAGAGGGTTTTCTTGTCTCTGAATAAGCTGGTAATAAGTTGATGGTGTCTTAGAACTGAGGAAGAATGTTAAAAAGAGAGTGAGGGTTCCCATGTACTGATCGCTTAGGGACTCCCAGCCACTGTCCTTGCTGGTCCCAACACGATCTCTGACGTTCAGGGCAATTGTGTGTGGCAGCAGTAATTATGAGCCTGGTTTTAAGAGATGAGGAGACTGAGGCTCAGGAAAGTTCTGTAATTTGCTCGTGATCACACAGCTAGTAATGGCGAGGAAGGGCCCATGCTGGGATTCCAATCCAGGACTGTTCAGCTCTGGGGCACCTGCTCCTCCCTTACCCTTCTGGCCGTCTCCTCTGGCTGCTGTTCTTAAACTTTCTTGTCTTCAGGGCTGCCTGGGTGGCTCAGTTGTTGGGTGTCTGCCTTTGGCTCAGGTTATGATCCCAGGGTCCTGGGATCGAGCCCCTCATTGGGCTCCCTGCTCAGCAGGAAGCCTGGTTGTCCCTCTCCCACTCTCCCTGCTTGCATTCCCTCTCTCCCCCTGTCTCTGTCAAATAAATAAATAAAATCTTTAAAAAAACAAAAACTTTGTCTTCAGATCTCTTTAAGCTCTTAAGAATTACTGAGGACTCTTGAACTTTTTTTGTGTGGGTTCTATCTTTTGATATTCACTGTATTTGAAATTAAAGTGGAGTAATATAAAACACCTTAATTCATTTTTGGATAATTAATTTTTGAAGGACAGTAATAGATATACTATATTAACATAAATAACATTTTTATTAAAAATAACTTTTCCAGGGCGCCTGGGTGGCTCAGTGGGTTGGGCCTCTGTCTTCGGGTCGGGTCATGATCTCAGGGTCCTGGGATCGAGCACCGCATTGGGCTCTCTGCTCAGCGGGAAGCCTGCTTCCCACCCTCTCTCTGCCTGCCTCTCTGACTACTTGTGATCTCTCTCTCTCTGTCAAAATAAATCAATAAAATCTTTAAAAAAAAATAACTTTTCCAAAACAAAAATAACAGCCCATCTATCATCTTCTGCATTCAGTCTGTGTAGTATATGTTTTAGTTGATATAGATGAAGAAAATCTGAGCTCCCACAGATATGTATTTGGAAAGGGACAGGGTATTTGAACAACCATTTTGGGGGATTGGGAATATCTTCCTTTGATACTCTACCAAAACTCCACAAGTGGTAGTTTTTCAAAGGTTAGTTGTCATGTGGAATCTGAAACTATTCCAGTGGACTTTGGGCACACTGTTAAATTGAAATCCTTTGGTCTGAAATCTTCCTTATAGAAAAATTCTGCATACTATATGTCGGTACTCTCCCAATCCAGGAAGGAGAGCTTCATTTCTACCCCTCCCCACTCCGTGAGGGTGGGTTGGACTTCATGACCGGCTTCCAAGGGATAGAATTGGAGAAAGAAGAAAAATGAGTAACTGGACAGTGGAATGTCACGTGGCTGAACTGAACTCGGAATGTCACGTGGCTGTCGAGAAAGCCCTGATGTGATGTAACTAGAAAACCCAGAACCCCAGTCTAATCACGAGAAAACATCAGACAAACCCAAATCAAAGGACATTCTACAGGATTCCTGACCAGTACTCCTTGATTGTCGAGGTCATAAAGAAACAAGCAAAGACTAAGAAACTGTCAGATGCCAGAGGAGACAGGACACCTGAATGCAGTGTGGTACTCTGGACTGGATATTAGAACAGAAAGAGAGAGTTAATGGAAAAACTGGTGAAATCCCAAATAAGTCTGGAATTTATCAATTGTCAATTTCTTAGTTTTACAAATATGTTGTGGTAATGCAGGGTGTTGACAATGGGGGCAACTGAGGAAAGGCTCCACAGGCGTTCTGCACTGTCTTTACAGCTTTTCTGTCAAATAAATAGCTTTTTTTAAGAAATCCATTGGTCTAGGGGTACCTGGATGGCTCAGTGGGTTAAGCCTCTGCCTTCAGCTCAGGTCATGATCTCAGGGTCCTGGGATTGAGTCCTGCATCGGGCTCTCTGCTTGGCGGGGAGCCTGCTTGCCCCCTCCCCTCTCTGCCTACCTGTGATCTCTCTGTCAAATAAATAAATAAAAATCCTAAAAAAAAAAGGAAAAGAAATCCATTGGTATAACCAAGCAGCAGACTCTAACTGTAGAGAACAAACTGATGGTGATCAGAGTGGGGGTAAGTGGGAAGATGGGGGAAACAGGTGACTGGGATGAAGGCGGGCACTTGTGGCAATGAGCACTGGGTGTTGCATGGAGTTGTTGAATCACTAAATTGTACACTTGACACTAATGTTACCCAGTCTGTTAAATAGCTGGAATTTAAATAAAAGCATCTTTTAAAAAATATAAAAATTGGGTATGAGAGGAAAGAGAATCTGTTCTTCTGTCTTGTACTCTGAATAGATTGTTTACCTGTGCATGACTTGGTAGCACCATTCCCATGGCCATTGGGAAAATACTGGTTCACAGAGTCCTGTAGATCTTTGAAATGTTGACCCATTTCGTTATTCAGTATTTTAAAAATCCCACTCATTACTTCTCAGAAAACTGCTTGTTCTCAAGCCTATGGTGGACACAAGTTTACCCAAATCCCGATTTTCTTGTGAAAGCTCAAATTTTATCACTAGCAAACGCTGCTGTTGTTTTCCTTAACGTTGCAGGCTCATTTTATCCATTTTCAAGGAAATATTTGCCAGATATACAAGTCTAAACACCATCCATTGGGTACTTACCCTTCAGATAAAAATGATATCCAGTGAAAAACATGGCTCGTGCAACCTGCCCGTGCAAACAGTTGTGTAAGTGCCTTTCCTCAAGACAACGATTATACCTCAGGATGCGACTCAAGTGTTTTAGGATGGGTCTCCTTTTGCCACATAAAGTATTAAAGGACAAGTACTCAAGGTCAAGACTTAACGAAATTAATTTTTACATCTTCACCAGGGACGTTCTGAAGAGAAATGGACTTTCCCCCCATTTCCTGTGCGGTGGCAGAGAACCTCGTCTGCCCCCAATGCCTCGCTTTGTGCTCGGGAAGCTTTGCCTGATGGGCTCAAACCCCAGCACAGTGCAAAAGGCTGGGAACGTTTAGTGTTCCACTGGAAATCGTCTGACCTCGCTGCCCTCCTAAGAGGGTCTCGGGCATCCTTAAGGGTCCACAGACCACACTTGGGAGAACCATTCTCCTAAAAAAAAAAAAAAAAAAAAAAAAAAAAAAAGGCAGTTGCTATAAGGTCACAGAGGAAGGGCCAACATGATTGAAGACCCACCCCATGAGGAAGCGAATGGTAATGGGGTGCAGGCTGATGTGTGTAGAAGCCGAGGCTCTTCCTGCTCAGTCGTCTTGCTTTCGATGACTCGGGAAACTTTTCCATTTGCCTGTGCCATTTCCACCCTGTGTTTAAACGCCGAAATGGAGACCTGGATCATCCGGTCTCTGCGTTCGCCTCTGTTCTTAACATGATCCCGTGCCAGACTTCCTTCCGGAGAGTCAGAGAATTGCTTCCTCAACTTTGTTTTCTTTTCTTTAAAGGTAAATCTCATTTGGCCATTGTGCAACGAGTGAACAATGAGGGAGAAGGGGACCCATTTTATGAAGTTCTGGGAATCGTCACATTAGAAGACGTGATTGAAGAAATCATCAAATCCGAGATTCTAGACGAAACAGATTTATACAGTGAGTAGTCGGAGTGTGATTTTTTTCAAAACCTTGGCTGTTTTCTGTCATCTCGTTCGTGAGTCCTCTCTCGTCTCCAGTGGCCACTTGCCTCTGTCTCTCATTACGTGCTGTGTGTATGTGTAGTCTGTGAACTACTAGGCAGTGTGTTCCAGAACCTTCATCAGAGGGGGGAAAGGAGAGGCAGGGCCTGTGGTGTCGAGTGGGAGTATTTCATTTTTGTTTTTGTCTTTTTTTTGAAAAGCCAACTTCTTCTAACAAGGGATGAGGGCATTACTTGCCCTGAACAGAAAACTCCCTTCTTGGTTTTTACTTTTATTGTAGGTGTGGTGAAAGAATCACTCTTCACTACATTTTTATTTTCCACAGCTAGGCAGTTGTGTTCAGATAAATTTCTTTTTCTACTTAAGGTCCAAATTCAAGTGCTTGTGAGGAGGATTTGTTAAATGGATGGATTGCCACCATTTAAATGTCCTTGTTCTAGAACCCAGGGGCCAGGGTAGTGGTGAGGTTTGTGAGTGTAGCTTTGCTGTGGCAAGGAGTGGTGACTGGGAGGGACGGGAAGCAGGACAGGGTAGGGTACACAATAGGAATGTGTTTTTCCCTTTCTGTGCTACTCTGTCTTCTTTGGGGGGGCAGGGGAAATGGGTGAAGGGGGTAGGAGTCTCTTGGCTTGTTTGTAGAGGGAGGGGAAGATCCGCTGGTCTTTGCATGTGAGGTAAACAATCCTGGGCTGAGTATTGAAGCGGAACCCTGTCTCACTGAAGTCCTCAACTAGATTGTTGGACTGTGGGGTTTAAACCTTCTTCTTCAGCCTCATTCTTAGTAGAATCTTAGTAATCTCTTTCAAGAGATTAATAATGAGACAGGGGTGTTTTTGCCTGGAGATGTTTGGGGCTCTCAGAGGTGGGCCAGAGAAGAGTATCTGGGCTCTGTTTGTTCTGTTTGGCTTATTAAAGCATGACTTAAAAGGGAAATGGATTGTTCACATGGCCTGGGACACCTGGGATGGGGCCTGCCTTGCTTAAAACAGAGTTATTTTTATTTAGTCCTGCTAGATGGGAATATTCCTCATTTTAATAATGAGAGTCTTCCGTGTACCCTTGGAAGGATAAACGTGATATTTAGGAAATGACTTGCTTCTGAAAATGTGTCTTACTTTTTTCTCATGTATATATATTAGTGCATTCTTTAAAATCACCATTTCCTATGTGTTTTATCTTCTTGACACTGGAGAGTAGTCAGAGATCACATAATAAAGAATATTGTTACTTGTGTGTTGACAGTCTTTTCATCCTTCCTTACAGTGACCATCTAATACCAAGTGTGCCTCCTTATATATCTATATATATATAGAGAGAGATTTTTTGTTTGTTTCTTCAGGGGTGGTACTCCTCATAAGAAAGATAACTAAAGTACTTAGGAGATCTTATGTTTGCTTTCCAGTTAAAGTCTCTTAAACCTCGATTAAACTGATTTCACACAGAAGTGTTGCCCAGCCTGCCTGGCTGGATGGAATGCTGACCACATGGTTTTAGGGATATCCTTGAGGTCGACGGGTGATCAGGGCTGAGGACTACATTTGCCATTAGAAAATTATTTGGAAATATAGTGTTGATTTATGCTGTCTGATTCTGAAAAGAATTCGAGACAGAAGAAAATGATAAGTTACGATTGCCCTCACCCTAGGACCAGCCTGGTAATTAAGTCTGCTTGGCCCCAGGCATGAAATGGTAATAGCGCACAGACTCATGGTTCTTGGGAAAGGAGTGAGCGATTAAGGTCTTGTCTTTAACCAAGTTTTTTCTTGATCATTTCTCTGTCAAGAAAAATACCGGAAAAGGGTTTTGTATTAGACACCGTCTAGATCAGGGGTTTGCAAAACAACAACAACAACAAAACTACAGCCCACAAGTGGCCGCCAGTGTTTGGAGAGCCCACAAGCTGAGAATTTTTGTTTGTTTTTTACATTGGGTAATCGTTGAAAACATGAAAAGAATAATTACTTAGAGACATGGGAAAATACTATGAAATTCGAATTTCATCTTCATGATGAAGTTTTGTTGGCACATGCCCTATTAGCTCTTTCACATATGGTTGCTTTTGTTCAGCAGTACGGTTGAGCAGTTCCAACAGACACCGTGTGGCCCCCAGAGCCTGAAATACTACCTAGCCCTTGACAGAGGAAGTATGCCGACCTCTCTTCTGGTTGACCTTCTTCATATTTGCTTGACCTTGAGGATCTCCGGGCCTGGGGTAGAAATGAAGCTAACAGATATTATTGTTAAAATGTTCTATGAAAGCATTCTTTTCTGTTTCTGAAGAGGGTTTGTTCAGATGTTTGTTTTCCCTGTTTCGGCAGAGGCTAAAAGCCTCTGCAAGGCAGGGCACCCTTCCCTGTGTCTTCTGTCACCCGGTGATTGTTCTTCCCCTCAGTGTGGTGACACCGAGTGACAGGAGACTGTGTAGGCCCTGAGATGCATGCCATCACTGTGGGGTTACATGGCTTGTGTGAGGGTTTTGTCCCCGCTACCCTGTCGTGTACTCACAAGGGCTCTAAAGATCTTTGTGGAGAATGTTTACCGTTGGTCCTAGTTGCCTTACTTTGGATTGGGTCATGACTGTGCTGCACTGATTTGCAGAGAATTCTCTCTCCTCCTCTTTCTGTGGGGCCTTGGTGCCTAGAGTGCCGGCGATCTGGAGGTAGTCTAGCCTTTCCAGTGGATTGTGTCCTTTTCATTCAAAAAGAGCCCTGATGTAATCGAATGCATTTCCTTTTATCTTTTCTCGTTCTTCGGTCAGCTGATAACAGAACGAAAAAGAAAGTGGCCCATCGGGAAAGAAAGCAAGATTTTTCTGCCTTTAAGCAGACAGACAGCGAGATGAAGGTTAAAATATCACCACAGCTTCTCCTGGCCATGCACCGTTTCCTAGCAACAGGCAAGTGCAGCTTATCACAGTTTGCGATCTCTCCAAACCCTGGACCGTGTTTCTCACCCACCGCTGACTGGGGTGGGCTGGGGGTGGGGATGGGGAAATGGGGTGATAAGTAATGCCACTTTTGTGTTTTGTTTTTTGTTTTTTTGTTTTGTTTTGTTTTGTTTTGTTTTTTTCTTTTTAAATTCTCTCCTCTCCTGTGTTCAGTGTCGGCATGAACCCTCTGAGACATTTACCAGGGGTGGACCAGTAACTTAAAATTGGTCTGAAAGGTAAGGATGAATGTTAGTGGCACACTGCATGTGAACAATAGGTCAGGTCATCTGCTTCCAGCTCAGTCCCGGGGAGAGCCCGCTAGTGGCGTAGGCTGGCCGTGCAGACCAGACACCACCTCCTGGAGTAATTCTCTCTCCAGCTTGCCTTGGAAGAACAGCCGGACCTCAGTGGTAACACGGGTGCTCTGATTTGCAAAGAAGAAAAAATAGATTCTCAGAATTAAATCTATCTCTTAGGATGTCCGTGACATCAGAAATTCTAAGCGCTTTGACGTGGATTTCTCGGTGGCCTCTTCAAGTCAGATTAACTTGGGCCCATTCCAGGAGGCAAGCGTTCACATTATTAAAACCACCAATCCAGCCGGCACTGACTGCTCCAGAAAGGTCAAGGTTGAATGGACTTAAGAGACTGACTAACCCTTCTCACATACCCAAGTGGCTGTCTAGGTGAAGGGTGAGCTCTGTGGGCCAGGGGAAACGTGAGAAAATCTGAAAGTACCCAGTGGCCTGTAGAAGACGTCTGTGTCCAAGATGGGCGACCAGTGCCCTTCAGCTGTATGGAGCATACTTAAAGTATTTCAAAAAGAAGGCTAACAGTAGCCATGCAATGGATGTTATATACTCTTTAAGACCCTGTTTTCAGATACCTAGAAATGCTCAGAGTATAATATTTATGAGCCGGGAAGTTATTCATAATTTAATTTGAGGTGAGAAAAAAAAAAAAAAACACCTAAAACTGTGAGATCACACGGGCACATGTGCTCACCAGCTGCTGAGAGGGACGGCGTGGTGGGTTCCTAGGTGATTTTCTTTTCCTCTTTTACCTTCTGTATTTTCCAGAACTTCTACAGGGTACCACCTCATTTCGTTATTACGAAAGCTACTACAGAAGCTAATACCGAATTCATGGTTCACCTCATGACAGCAGTTTTTTCCACATATAACAGTATCTTTAACTTAATTTTCAAATTCTGGTAATGTTGTTCATCATTGCGGAACCATACTTTAAATGTTGTCCGACTCTGCCTCTGAGATGCCGGGAAGTCCAGTTTCAATCAAGCAGCCCTAAGCCAGTAATTCTGAGTTTGGGTACCGGAAATAAAATTGGATTCCTTTTGCCAATGCAGATACACATTTTTTTTTTTTAATTTTTTTTAGTTAGCAAGTTGGAGTGCATGTCGCTGTGTGCACGTGCCTTGCTTCTCTTCTGAATCTCCGCCTGCCTTTGTTCCCAGACTCTCTCAGGGTAGTGGAGTGGGAGAAGGAGAGGTGGAGCCTTTCGTCTGGGCACCTGGTACTAACCCACACCTAGATGCTTCCTGACCTTTGCTTCTTCCTTCCGCTGTTGTTGGATGGTCAGACTATGGTGGCCTGTCAAAGGGTGTCCTGGCAGTCAGGAGCCTGCTTCTGGTAGACTTCAATTTGTATCAGAAAATTAGGGTAATTTGTAAGAACTGAAACCAATGACGGGTTGAAAAGGAAATACTTAAACAAATATGAGACATTGGTATTTTCTAATTTCTCCCAGGTAACCTCCCCCCCCCAGTGGATCACCAAACGGAAGTGTCTTTAATCCATATTGTATTGCTTTGGTTCCGAATATTATTCTAAACTCCTTAATCACTAGTATGATTTTTTTTCCATCCATTTGAAGTGTAATATCAAGTTGTGTTTATATCTATAGAAGTAGAAGCATTTAGCCCATCCCAGATGTCAGAGAAGATCCTTCTAAGGCTGCTAAAGCACCCCAATGTCATCCAGGAACTGAAGTATGATGAGAAGAACAAGAAGGCCCCAGAATACTACCTCTACCAGCGAAACAAACCTGTAGACTACTTCGTTCTCATTTTGCAGGTCAGAAGAATTATTCAATCATTGTTTGATCTCACTGCGTACCTGTCCTTCCGGTTCTTAGAAGACTTTTCTGTAGGTGAACGGGTGTCCAGGTTCACATACTTAACTTCCGGTGTCGCCTGATACGTGGGAGGATTTCCTCCCCCTGTTTTCCTCTCTGTAAAATAATTTCCGCATAAAGCAATGTCATTAGTTACTTCAGTTTCCAATACTGAAGGGCACTGACTGGTTGCTGAGGCATGGAGGCATTCATGTGAAAAGGGTGAATTCGGTTGTTTATATTTTTTTGAAGAGAGTGGAGAATTCCCTGTACACACCCAAGTCTTGATTGGGTATTTGAAATTTAAGTGTCGTGAGTTCCTGGGGTTTCTCTTATCATCTTTTTCTTTTTTCCACTCTTCATTAGGACTTGGTCGTCTCCAGCTTCCTAGAGGTAACATACTATCTCTTCCCTTAACAACATCAAATTAATCCATTTATTATTGTTTTTATTCCTGGTTACTAACCAGGCTGTTCTACAGAGGAACTAATGTAATCATCATGGCCTCTCATGGCAATGGAAACTGTGTTCCTTTTCAGTAATAACATAATCCACTCTATCAGGTGAGAAGGTCCATCCATTCCGGACCGTCCTTGAGGGTTTTGGTGCTTGAGTTGGGGGAGGCCCTTATTCTATCCCAGTTTCATTGGATAGAACACCGTCATTGACATGGAAACCAAGCTGTACAATGGACGAAATGTTGGTTTTATTGACTGCTTGTGCCTCCTTACTGAAGAATTACTTGTACTGAGTAAAGACCGACTTTCTGGAAAAGAGTCCTAGCCCCTTAAGCATTCTCCTACTTTCTGGTGATTTCCTAGGTATGAATTAGAGGGATTATTAGAAAAGTATATTGATGGGGTGCCTGGGTGGCTCAATGGGTTAAGCCTCTGTCTTTGGCTTAGGTCATGATCTCAGGGTCCTGGGATCGAGCCCCACATCGGGCTCTCTGCTCAGCAGGGAGCCTGCTTCCCCTTTTCTCTCTGCCTGCCTCTCTGTCTACTTGTGATCTCTGTCAAATAAATAAATAAAAATCTTAAAAAAAAACAACAACAGTATATTGAGGACTTGGTAGGGCCTATAATTTACGTGAGTCCAGCAAGGTCCCAGTTATCTGAAGGATAATTAAAGAAGTTCTTTTTATTTGAAAGCAACTCTTATCAGATGTCCAGATGAGGGAAACTCTGCAAAAGTGTTGTGCTCATGTCCCTGTTTGGATGCTATCGTGATGTCTGGAGGAGGAAAGAAGAAACTATAGAAAAAAAACCGCGTGTTAACTAGTCACCTGCCACTTTCATACATTCTTTTGTGGAGACATCTCTTGGCAGGTTTTCTAATTCAATACCCTGATTTTTGTATTAACTTTAGTCTCATTCAGTCCTGCGTTGTTTGTTTTCTTTTTCTCTGGAGATACACACACTTGAACCTCTGAAGGGGCTTCAGGGAGTTAATGTACGTGTAGCAAAAGAATTAAACATTGGTGCTTCTTCTAAAAGCGAGATGGGAATATTCCATAAACCTAGAGAAACTTGGACTTACACTAAATTTTGGATTACACTTAGGAAGACTTAGAGGATTGACATGGTGAATTTCAGGAGTAATATTAGAAACTATGTGTCTTTCAGTTGTCGATTTTTCCGTAGTTTGTATGAAGTGTGATTCGGGAATGTTCTGTTGGTGTATAACAAAGCTGTTTCCTGGCTGAAAGATCTAAAAAGAGATTTTGTGGAAGAGGGACTTCATACTCCCCATTCATTTACAAGTAAATCTTTAAGGCGATTTTTTTTTTTGAGATTTTATTTATTTATTTGACAGAGATCAAAAGTAGAGAGAGAGAGGAAGGGAACCAGGCTCCCTGCTGAACAAAGAGCCCGATTCGGCGCTTGATCCCAGAACCCTAGGATCATGACCTGAGCCGAAGGCAGAGGCTTTAACCCACTGAGCCACCCAGGTGCCCCTTTAAGGCAATTTTTGATAAAGGATTTGTGTGTTTGTTACCTGTATTTGAATCCCTGTGTCATGTTAAGTATTTATAGAAATGGGACCTTTTTTTTTTTTTTTTTTTTTTTTTGAGTTGTTGAACTGATGATGTCTTGGAGATTTTTTTAATAAATAGTGTATGTATTGGATTAAGAGGATTTATGGAGGTGTTTGAACTATGGAGTTCAATGAAAATTAGGTTCTTGTAGGCCAGCCAATTACCCAACGTACCCGGAGTATAAGAAAATGAAGTAGGATGATCCCTGTCAATCCAGCACAGCTGTCACCTTTTACAAAGTATATTCCTCTCTGAGATGTCACTAGCCCAGCTGGGGAAATTGGTGCCAGGTTATTGGGCATGTTTCCCTGTCTGCTAGAGCATTAAATCAGAAACGAGCTGCGGTATGTGCCTTCCGTTCCTGGCCCCGAAGCCAGTGAGCAGCCCTCTTTTGTAGACACCAGAAAAAAATTCTTCTGTTAAGTCATTGATGTTTGGAATGTAATTATAAATAGAAACCCATCGCTCTTGAGTTTAAACTCTAAATGAAATAAGATCGTATTTATTCAAAGTAAGCCATTTAAGTTTAATTAAAAGAGTGATTCTTGAAGTTACTGGGCACATACCTCCCACTCCATAAATATAAAAAGGCTGCCACCTAAAGTTTTATCTGAAAAAGTTAGGTTTTTTAACTAAAATGTATTGGGGGAGAATTAGTAAGGACAGCGATAAAAACAGTACAACACAAAAGTTTATTGGCTCTGCATGTCTTAAAGAACAAAACAAATATATCATACCTTTTATTGAGTTGTTTTCAAATAAAAAACCTCAGTTGTCCTTTTGATAATTTGGGACCTTGCTGGATTCATGTAAATTGAAGGACCTACTGTGTACTCATAGATATGTGTATCCATGGAAATGGAAAGGAATATAATTTTGATGGAAAATAATTCCACCATCATAAAAGAGTAAACGTACCAAGAAAAAAATGTTTTAACTAATACAATTAATAGAAATTTGGAGGAAAATTTAATGTAAAGCGGGGGAAGTACTTTTTAGAAAGTTTTATGTAACTTCAACGTAAAGCTGATGATTTGCCATGTCATATGTAAGTTCTACTAAACTCAAGTAGAAATTTCTAGAACTACCTGTATAGCTCATAGTGAAATGAAATTGGACCTAAAAATATGTCATTGAAAAAGTACTAAGCCACTTTTAAATGGTGACCAGTTCTCTTCCAAAGGCTTATACATAAGGCTCAGAACAGGGCATTATAATGTATTGCCATGGGTTTCCTGAGTGTCTTCGTATAAACGAATCTCTCCAGAAGTTTACTCAGGAGTCACCTCTAAGGAGGGAGACTTGGAGGACTGGGCATAACGTGGAAGGGAGACTTACTTCTCCCTTTGAATTTGAATTTCTTACCATGTATACATATTACCTATTAAGGAAATGTCGAATATATAATTAACATCAAACTGATAAACTCTAAGTAGCGACTGAATTAGAAAATATATAGAATATCATAAAATACAGAGAACACATTAGATGCCTTATATGCAGTGTCAAAGTTTTAAGAAATCTTATTCTGAGTACTTACACAAGGAAAAATGTGTAATTATCTAGAAAAAGAACAAAGCAACAAACTGAAAAGAAGAAATTCAATAATAAAGATGGTCATGAAAAAAGTGTTAATGAGAAAGCCTTAAAACCCGTAAATAAAAATCAAGATTTGGTTCTTTTAAGAGATTAACAAAATCAGTATTCTATTGATGTAATTAATGTGATAAAAGAAAAACAACAATCTCTTCTCCTTTAAAACAGCTAGATTCAGAGAAATTACTTGGAAAAAAAAAAATTGAAACTTGGAGGAGCTCATTTTCTGTGTGATACAAATGGGCCAAGATGGTACGATCTTCAAATTTCCCAACTAAAGAGGTAGCAGTTAGAGACGAGCAGCGTCCCCAAAGAACTGTTCACTGTGACTGACCAAATTAGGTTTATTTAGGAATGCAGGACTAGTTTAAGAACAACAGAACCAAAATGTGCCATGTTAATTAGGAAAGCAGTAAAGAAAAAAAGCCCTCATGCTCCTACCAATAGATAGCAGAAAGGCAACTGACAAAATTAAGCATCCATTTTTTAATTTTAGAAAATGAAAAAAAAAATCTTTGTAAAAATCCATGATGAATAGTGAACAACAACAACAACAACAAAAAGTGCTGCAAAACCAATTCTACCCTTAAACTGACAGCCTCCTTTTGGGAATACATAAAATCTCTCATGCACACGCATCTGAAGAAATTATGTGCTCAAGCGATCGATGCAATCATTTATAGCCAATCTGTTAATTACAAAGTAGTGGTAGTACATATGTCTCAACCACTTGTATTTCCATATGATGCGGCCATCATACAGTCATGAAAGAAACGGAGAGCACAGAGAAAAATGTCAAGAGTCTGCACAATAATTATAACTACTATAAACCATTTTCCTAATTCAGAGTTGGTATTTTACAGTGAAGGATTTTTTTGTCCTTTGGGGAATAAACTGTCTAAGCAAAAAATATATATATATATAAACATATGTATAAACATTATATATATATATAAACATATGTATAGACATTATATATATAACTAAATATATATATATATATATATATATATATAGTTCCTCCACGCACATAACCAGATTGACTTTTTGAAAAATAAGAAATAGAATACTAGGAAAACAAATAGCTCCTTTCTTTGCCAATTACAGAGTCAGTAAAAGGAGCACTTTTTTTTCCCTCCTGATGTTAATTTTTCTGCTTGATTTCCTGCCTCAGATTTTGTGGTGGCTTTTCCGCCGTTCCACCCACTCTCTCCTCAGGGCCTCTGACAGGGCTTCAGAAGGGCTTTTCCCTATAGAGTGAAGTCCGTTCCTTTGTGGACAAGGCAGGTAGCATCTTGGAGCTTACCTGTCCCTTGACATCACTTA